ATCTATCTATCATCTATCTATCTATCTATCTATCTATCTATCTATCTATCTCTATCTCTGTATCTGTCTGTCTGTCTGTGTATCTGTATCTATCTATCTATCTATCATCTATCTATCATCTATCTATCATCTATCTATCTATCTATCTATCTATCTATCTCTATCTCTGTATCTGTCTGTCTGTCTGTGTATCTGTATCTATCTATCTATCTATCTATCATCTATCTATCATCTATCTATCATCTATCTATCTATCTATCTATCTATCTATCTATCTATCTATCTATCTCTATCTCTGTATCTGTCTGTCTGTCTGTGTATCTGTATCTATCTATCTATCTATCATCTATCTATCATCTATCTATCATCTATCTATCTATCTATCTATCTATCTATCTATCTATCTATCTATCTATCTATCATGTATAGCTATCTACTATCTACTATCTGTCTGTCTGTCCGTCCGTCCATCCGTCCATCCACCCACCCATCCATATCTACCTATCTACCTACCTACCTACCTACCTACCTATCTATCTATCTATCTATCTATCTATCTATCTATCTATCTATCTATCTATCTATCTATCTATCATCTATCTATCTATCCAACATCTATCATGTATAGCTATCTACTATCTACTATCTGTCTGTCCGTCCGTCCATCCATCCGTCCATCCACCCACCCACCCATCCATACCTACTTACCTACCTACCTACCTATCTATCCACCCATCCATCCACCCATCTATCTATATCCAGGATGCGAAAAAAAACAAACAGCAATATTTCTGCTTCTTTTCCATCCCTAGTAAATATTCTAACCAAGGTATAGGAATTAATCTAAACCACAGTTTTTCAAGCACTTCTGTATAAGTTGTAGCCATTCCACTTTCTCCTCTCAAATGCGACTGTCTTACTTTGCTATATTAATGGTCAACTATATACACCACATGGTCACTTGTTGTATCATATAATCTGTCTAACATTTGCTGCAAATTACTCAGATTGTCTGCCAACAACACAGCAGCACTACACACAGGCCCATTCACATGTCTGCCCACACAGTTTTGTGATCACCACAAGCATTCCTTGTATTTCTTTTTCCCCTCCCGCTACGTCCCCAACATAATAATTTTTCCCCCACTCTTGTTTTCCATAATCATCTTTTCTCCCAAGATCCAGTCTTGGCATTGCCCAAATATCGCCTGTCCTATGTGCAGATCCCTGTATATCCCCTATCAATCCTCTCAAGGGACATCATAATTGACCAAATCAATAAATGCATTTTGAACCTTATTCCTTTGATATGCGGGCCTATAAACAGACTTAACACTTAAGACACATATACAAAGCACACAGATCGATTCTCACCCATCCTTGAGTCTCCAAATGGTCTAAATAAAACACCTTTTCGGTAATATGAACAAACACATTATTATTGTAAGCCAGCCATGGCTGTTTTACGATGGGCAGATATACAGATATTTTAAATAAATAAGAAGAATAAATACACCGTGCTACATTACAACAAAGAAGGCCCATTGTGGCATTGCAGAATGTGTGAATGCAGCAAGCTGACATATTTTGTTTAGGTTTTTTTGAACACATCACAGTTGGCGAGCTTTCTAACTTGACTGGACCACCAGGAGAAAGCCAGGGTAAAACAGCTGCGTATTATAGGACTCCATAAACCCTAATTCCCATCACGGAAGAGTGGATGGTAAAGATGATGGAGCTAGCAGAGACGGTGAAATTGATTATTTTAAATAAAAAAAAATGTATCTAGTTTTGTTTCTGCTTTGAAATTGCTTTTTGCTCAAAACGGGGGGGAAAATGAAACTTTGATTTTAACGTTTCAGTGATTAGAATAATTTTGTAATTTTGGAAATGGGGTAAAACGTAAAGCCGAAGGGTTAAGGTTGTATTGTTTTTGAACTCTTGTCGCACGGAAGAAATTCAGAAGTCTTTCATTCTCCCTCCCCCTCTCTTTGCCCTTTTTTCTCTTCTTATTTATCTGCTTTTTTTTCTCTAACTTCTAACTTTTTCTAGCTTGTTTTTCTAATAAGAAACTTATTATGTTTCTAATAAAACTTCTAGCTTTGTTTCTTCTGTATTTTTATTTGATAATAAAGTTTAATTTAAAAAAATATATATTTTTAAAAGGGGACACTATAAATCCTGACGTCCCCAGAAGCTGAGCTTGATTCAAGAGAGATTTTAGTTCACCCAACTCAGAATAACAGAATTAAAGAATTAAAAGAGACGGAAGGGGCCTCAGAGGTCTTCTAATCCAACCCCTGCTCAAGCAGGAGAGCCTATACCAGTGATGGCGAACCTTTTAGAGACCGAGTGCCCAAACTGCAACCCAAAACCCACTTATGTATCGTCGGGTGCCGGGTGGGCATGGCCCATTGGGTAGGCATGACCCATTGGGTGGGCATGGCTTCGGTGATAACGGTAGACTGGGTGGGACTAAAAAGTTCAATCAATCAATTCCAACTTTGGGAGATCTTTTTTTTTCCACGAGAAGTTGAAATTGATTGATTAAACCTTTTTTTTTTTGCACATGGCGGCGGAGGCCTAAAGCGAAAAGGTTTTATAAAACCCAGCTGAAGGCCTAGGACTGGGGCGATGGTGCGCATGCCCACAGAAAGGGCTCCATGTGCCACCTGTGGCACGCGTGCCATAGGTTCGCCACCATGGGCCTATACCCTTTCAGACAAGTGGTTGAAAGAAGAGAAAAACAGAATCAAGTACCTGCCTCCAATCACAAAGATGGGTGAAAAGAAAAGAAAAATTGAATTCTCAAGCAAACTGAGAATGAGGTTGCAAAACAGAAGCCTGTCCTACAAGGATGGAAAGTGTTCAAAGATTGGAAAACAGATTGTTGTGACACAGGTCGGGCAGCTAGTCTTCAGGAATGGACAGCTCCCAGTTCGTCATTGCCAGAATCTGACTTAATTTCTACTGCTCCCCAATAATTATATGGAATTTAGCCTGTTTTCTCAAACCCAAAGACATTCTCTTCAATTCCTGGGCTGGTCTTGGACTTCACTGGGATGCAGAGAGATGTCCAATCCCCCCCCCCAAAAAAAACCCTAAAAAAAAAATAGTGATGTGCCATTTACAAAGTCCTCCGAGAAAAAAAACCAGAAGGTCACAAAAGGGGATCACATCACCCCCGGGACACTGCGACCGTCACAAATATGAACAAGTTGCCGAGTGGCTGAATTTCGATCATGTGACCTTGGAGACGCTGCAATGGTCATAAGTGTGAAAAACGGTCAGAAGTCACAGTTTTCAGTGCTGTTGTAACTTGGAAGAGTCGCTAAACGAACATAAATTCAGGACTACCTGTAGTATATCAGGCACTTCCTGGAGAAAATGCAACTCTGGTAGTTGGCTTACTTATCTGCCAGCCTCAGATCTGACTGGTTAGTAGCTGCTTGAGTTGAATGTGTTGTGGGAACACAGCCACAGAGCAGGGCCAAATTTCCCCAAATCCTATAATCCTAAATAACCACAGCAGCAGTTTGGACTGGAGGACCAAAAGGGCTGTCCAAGTCTATGATTCCACAATGATGAGGAAGCCACAAAAGAGAATATTGGTTTTGCTTTGTAAAAAAAAATAAAAAATCTCATTCCAGCTTGGATTAATGACAGAAGCCTGTTCATTAACGGCTGCCGGGCCATCAATTAGAATTTAATGGCCAATTTTGATCCCTGGCCTTCCTTTCTGAGCAACGGCGTGGAGGCTGACACCTCGGTTTTGATGCCCCTCTCAAAGAATCTGGAAAGGATGCCAACTTTAACACAAAGAAACGCTGAATTTCTCCCTTCTTTTCCAGCCTGGTGGCGGCTGGTACCAAACAAGGGATGGATTTTAGAGCCGGCTTCTCCGTTGTTAGCCAACCACTAGGCTAACCTTGAATTCTCTTGTTGGATCTAATCCCCTTTTTTCGCTTTTGGAGCAGATGTGGGCACCAAATTCAGAAGTGGCCGCGCACGCCGTCTGCCCGGTAAGGTTACTCTGACGCCGTATCGTAAGGTTACTATTTATCTAACGCGAGCAGGGTTGGCGCACACATCTGGCGCCTGGCACTTACTGCAA